AAAAAAAAAAAAAAAAAAAAAAGAAAATACTATTCTAATTAAAATTTCATTATAGAATTTAATTAAATCTCTAAGTTCGTCGATCAATAACTTCGACACGTGTCGAAATATCCCAATCAGATGAAACATACGATGACTTGGAACGTCAATATTAACATATATTATCCATCAAAGAGTAAAATCTCTTTGAAAGGAGGCACACTTTCAAAAGAACCGTCTACAACACAGCGTGAAGAGAAAAATCGATTCACAAATGGCCTCAAAAGTCAAACCAATATCTCAATCATCGCCCGTACAGTCTCAACCCTCTGTCCTCCTACTCCATCCCCCAAAGATTCAACGATTTTCTAAATTTTACCTTGTCGACAATCCCAAGTACAAGCCAGTCGATAGTTAATCACAGGTCCTCGAACAAATCCTAACCGTCAGAAACCGCGACCGCAGAGAACCAATCTACCAATGCTCGTCTCCACGGGTCGTTCGTGGCCCCCCCTATTATAAATCGAAAGGGAGCACAAGGATCAACGTACAATACACACGAGCGGATCTTCTTCATCCTTTTCTCTCTCTCTCTCTCTTCTTTTTCTCTCTGTTTTTCTTCCTTTTGACTCGTGTGTGGCCTTCCAACGCGGCAGCAACCTCGACATTTCCCCAGATCGTGGCGGGTTAAGCCAAGCCTTAAACGGAGAAGCGAAAGAGAGAACGAGAAGAAAGAGATAGAGAGAGAGAGAGAGAGAGAAAGAGTGTAGGGATAGGCGGTAATCCCCCGCAGAGTCCCCATTGTACGAGGATCTCTTTTAACCCCCTCTCGGTCTTTTCCAAGCTGCATGTAAATACAGGCTGACCACACAACCTGAAAGATGCTTGTAGAAGAGGGTAGGGGGTTGAAAGAAAACACCGGACACGGCGGTATGTTATGAATAAGGTATTCCATGCGTTACTACGGGGTTGGCCGTGTGTATTGATCTGGCCACGGTGCCCCGCCTCTCTCTTTCTCTCTCTTCACCCCTTGCTTCGCCCTCGCCTCGTCTCTGTCTCTCCCTCTTCCTCTCTTCCCTCTCGACCGCCGTTGTTCTGGCATCTTTCTACGTGTCGTTGCTTTTTCTGCTTGTCTCTCTTTCTTTCTCTCTCTCTCTCTCTCTCTCTCTCTCTCTGTCTCTCTTGTTTTTTCTAGGTGGAGGTTTTCGAAGAGATGTAGAATTAGATTAATGAGAGGATACGAGGAATTTTTTTCCTTTCTTTCTTTTTTTTCTTCTTTTCTCACCAGGGATGTTGTTTGTTTTAGGGAGGATTGAATTAGAATGGAATACGAATTGAAGGGCGATCGTTCACCTGTTGATGCGTGAATACGATGGGCCGTTGTCCTGGCACACGACGATCTCCAGGGAGAAGGATAACGATTATTGTCAGAGAGATGGCTTCCGGTATCCTTCTATGGATACCGTGTTCTTTTTTTCGTTTATGTTGATTGTCGTTGGACAATTCATTATATAAATATCACGTACTCTTCTATAAATGATTTTTTCAAATAAAATTTTGTGTATATTTTATCATTTTATCATTCATCGTTTATAATAAATTTTTAGTTATTTCATATTCACTTATATTCTTTAAATCCATGCAAACAATTGAAAAATAAAAATTAATTTGTGCTCTCTAGATTTCCAATATTTTCAAATATTTAAAACATAAGATATCTTGCATATAAAATGATTTATCAGCACGAGAATGTAATATACATCTTTAATCTTCCCAGATCCCGTCCACTGTCCGTTAATCCACTAAAGGAAGTCTCCAATTTTCGAGGGATTCTTCCACCAATTTTTCCTAACGATCGGCGCGGGGAAAAAGGGAAACGAGAAACGCGGTTTCGAGGGGGGTAAGATTAAAAGGCGAGGGCGGAACGAGAAGAAGGCGAGTTCGATCAGATATATTCCGTTGGGTTTCGAAAAGCGGGCCACGTAATGAATTCGTGCGCCCTTCGCCGATGGCCTGGTTTCATTGCGAGCGACGCCATGCTAAATGAAGGTACGACCTTCCGCGCGAGGGTCGCGCGAGGTCGCCGAAGATTAGTCGCCGCTCCTTCCACGTGAACCTGAAATTTCTCCGGCTTAGGAAATCCATCGAGAGGATCCGTGAATTAACATTCACTATGGTCATTCAACCCTCTCTCACATTAATGGATGGATACTTTTGAAATCGTGCACGTTTTTTTATTTATTTATCCTAATTTCCACGTTGAATTAATTGTAATTAATATGGTGATTAAGGTTTGTAAATGTTTGTATAAATGTAGATACGGAAGATCATATCTTAAATCATATCTTCTTTTAACAAACAATTTTTTTTATTGAATAATATTTAAGTATGTGATAAATTATCATTGCACGTTTCGACGATGTTGAAAAGAAAGAAAAAAAAAAAGAACGATATTGAGACGAAAGAAGGAAGCCATCGTGCGAGCTATTAACCCTTTCATCGTTGCGAAATCATACATAGGTTTAAAACGGTTTCTACAGTTTAATTTATCACCTAGACCATTTATCTTCCAGCAAAAACTAAACTGATCTTCTTACTACCGCCATTTCCCCTAATCAATCCAAAAAACGTTGACACATACGTCCTCGAGATACAATTAGCCCGACTAATTTCACCCCCGGCTTTTCTTATCGACCATTTGCGAATATAGGGGTGGTTCAAACCACGTGAACTTCTTGTCTCGTAAGTGGACGACGTAATAACAAATTGAAGGGCAAATCTGGGCAAAGATACACTTGTTTCTTGATAATTCATCGAGTTAAGGGTAAATCGACAGATTGTTCTTTTACAAAAATTTACGGAGGATAAAAATTAATTAAATTAATTCAACGTATTCTTAAAATCATTTTTATTCAAAAAAAATATGTATAAAAACGAAAAACGAAAATTAATTTCACGAATAAAGGAGTATTTAAATACAAAAGGGAAGAGAACCGACGAGTCTGATAATTTCCATTCACCAATACCGGACATCTGAGATACCTTTACAGCTTAAAAAGAAATTGGAGCGGAGTAATAAGAAAGCACGAGGAAGGGGAGGAGGAGAAAAGAAAAAGAAGAATCCCTCTCTCTTAATTGTTCGAACGAGCAGTTGAGCTCGTTAAATCGGCGTTCGACGTTCCAGTTTGTCGACTGGGCAGAGATGGAGGGAGTGGGTTGAGAAAGGAGAGGGAGGTTTTGGAAGGAGACATTTTTCTCCGAGCACCGTTAAATAATTGTCTTCCTGAAACGATTGGAAGATAGCGATGCAACGTGGTTGAATCGAAAAGTCGATTCCAACCCCCCCGCCTCACCACCCCTCCCAGATACCGCTAACGGGTATCTGACAAGGCGAACGCCGGTACTCGCGCATCTATAGAGGGGCCGTATCGATTCTCGAGGCGGCAGGAACTCGCTGACAAGGTTACAAGGTTGCGCTAATTGAGGGTTTTAATTTCCTGTCCGCCCACCAGAAACCCTCCCCCCTTCTCTCCCCCGATTTATTCGGCCGGCCGCGATACACGCGATCCTTTTGTGCTCGTGTGCCGCCGCCGCCACCGCCGCCGGTTTTGTTAACCGAGTTATTCGATCGCAACACTTCCTTTGGGAAGGAAAGGGTCTTTTGATAGAATTGATAACGCCGGGTAAAAGAATCAGAGTCTGTAGTAGTATATTCGATAATAACTGATATTCGAAAAAGAGATTTTTAAAATTTTTTTCAATTTTAGGCTTTGTCAATTTTCTGATTGAAGCGGCTATGATTGAAGTTCTTTGAAGCATGATAATCCTTTGGAGAATCCTGTAGATGGAATTCCAGTTCGCGTGATAAAGATTTTTAAGTGTCTTTTTTTTTTATCTCGTTGGAAAAATGAAAGTTGATGGGGGTTCGAATCATCGTCGATCGACCTTCTTGAATTTTTGAAACTTTTGCACGTTTTTTGAGGTTGTAATGGTAGTTGAAATATTATTATTCGAGTAGTTAGTTGATCTTCGTAAAGATTGATTATGCATTCGTACGAGAAACACAATTTTGCACGGGTGAGAAAAGTTTTCCCTCGATTTCGAATATTGTAACGAATCAGCAAGAAGGTCTCACGGGGTTCTCTTGAAATTTCAAAAGACTTAATAGGCTTAACGAACTTGGACCTCGTGGCAAGTTTCGAAAGTTTCGAATATGTCGGGAGACTTTACGAATCTTGAAGGATCTTCTCTAAACTACCTTTACCCAAAAGCACCAATTATTAAGTATTCAAGATGTATATATCGTTAGAAATTCTAATTTTCTTTCAAAACTGCGTGTTTTTGAATGGATTCGCGATTGGCGCTATTTTCATAAATAAATAATACATAGAAATAAATAAAATCATTGTAAACACATTTAATATTCCTATAATTCCAAAAGATTTAATGGAACCTCACAAAATCATAGAAAAGAGAAGAATACTGTAAAAAGTCGCCTTTTTTATTCGCTTAAAAAGGATTATAACGTATGCATTATTTATTATTGCATTGAATTTAGCGCCAAAACCGAACTTGTACGATGATTCGGCGAAAACTGCCGAACACTATCGACAAAAATTGCCGATTGCTCTCACGCACGCGCAATAAAATTAAAAATACAAATACATTATCTTACTTATCGTGTCGCGATTAACAATCGTCGATTATTATAATTGTTTTTTTTTCTCGACTCTTCGTTTAATTTCTATTTTTTATCAAATTAAAAATCTATTTTCTATATACAGCAAAAGGATGGATCGTAGTTATCTTTAATGGAAGCGTTACAGAACACCGTTTCGTGCGAATTTCTAAGACTTCCACAAAGACTATTTAGTCAAAGGTTCGATAATCTTCGTAGCGTAAACTGCGCATAGAAGTTAACGGCTGTGAATTATACCGAACAATACATCAGTACGTATTCAGAATTTCAATGAATTAACGGGTTCCTGAACAATTGCAACAGCTATCAGCCTCCATCTTTGTGACCGTTTCAACTTCGACTTTTCCAGAGATAATCACTGTCTCGGTTAATCTCAGGATTCGTCGTGAAATTATTCTATTAAGAAAACTCGGAATCACAAGGAATAATTCATTTCGTGTTCGTGTCGAGATGGAAAGAATAATATAAAAAAAAGCACGAAAAAAAAAATGAACGAATATCAAGAACTATATACGTGTACACATCGTTTTCATCAATGAAGAATTCCATTTCGCATGGAAAATAATTAAGAAAAACCAAGTCCGCGTTACACGTTTTTCCCTCGATTATGAATTCAAAGAATAATATAATAAAGAAAGGAAATAAAAGAAAATTGAGGTTTGAATATAAAAAGAATGTAAATGTTATCATAATAATAAACCGTGTAATTTCATCTTCTTATATCTTATGATATAATTCTCCTTTCTTCTCTAATTAATAACTTAATAAATAAAGATATAGAGAAAAGTTATTTTTTATTTTTTCCTTTATTAAATATCTTTATAGATGCAAAAAAAAATATATATATATAAATTTCTTTTCGAATACGAATTCAATTAATTCAGTCGAGCACAATAATTTTTATTATTAATCCTGTGGTTAGGTGATAAAAATTCACAATAAAAAACATTTCCATCAAACATCGGGCAACAAAACATTTTTAATCGTCGACGCGAACAAATTTATTATACAAGCTTCATATAGCTTCATCCTTTAAAAGACAGCAAAAGGCATCCATCCATCCATGCATACAGCCAAGAATCCTCGATTTCAGGGTTAATCTCGATCACGGTACGAGACTCTTAAGGCGGAAGAAGAGCACTCTCGAACCGCCAATCGCATTCTTTTCCCCTAGCCAACATCTTTCCAGACGGTTCCGCAAATTTCCGCGAATTTAATTTCGTATTTTCTTGAACCGTATATCTAACTCGTTTCAAGACGACTCTTAATACGTCAATATTAACGAATGTTTACTCGCCAAGGTAACAACACGATCTGGCATTACGTTCGCGATAATGAAAGAGAACGCAATATAGAAATTTGGATGACGAGTTGGAGAGAGAGATTATTCAGTTTTGATCTGCTCCTAATCTACGAATACTTTGAGAATTCTATAGATAGTAAAATTCACTGCGCGCAATTTTAAAGCGCGCAAATGACGATTGCAAAATCTTCTCGATAAAGAAAATCAATTTTGTTAATCCATCATCCAAATAAACAACCAACTACGCGATTTAACTTCTCTTTATCTAACTAATCCCTCTACTATATAAAAATTACAAATACATATTAAAAAAAAAAAAGATAGGCAATAAATTATACATTTCTATTCAACACAAATGAAACATCGATCACGAATTTCACATTGCAAACAGGAGGGAAACACCGCGAACAAGCACAAAATTTATCGAGAATTCCTCTCCAATCCAATCCAATCTAATCTCTTTGGATCCAAGAAAAAAATCGAATCCTAAACCGATCAA